CTAGGGCCTTGAACAGCAGTAGGAGAGAATACTTTTTCAATCCCTATTAATTATTCATCAATTTATCAACACAGGCTTGAAATTATGTAGGAAAAAATGGGGGAAAAAAAATGTGGAAAATTGTCGATTTAATGAATGATGAAACTTGTCCATGATCTTACAAACTAATTAATAATACTATTTACAGTCGAATCAGACATATTCCATCTTCACATTTCAACAAAAACATTTTCTCCTGCATAAAGCTCAATTAGAATGAAAGGCCTTATTTGCCATCGATAACTATCGCTAGATTACTTCTCATACATGGTGAATTGACAGTCTTCATCCTCTGCAATAGCAACAAAATCGAATGGCGGATGTTCATAACAACTACTGACAACAGCCGCAGGAGTAGTTGGTATTTTCTTCTCTGTATTCATTATGTCACGAATGGCAATCAATGACAATCGTTGCTCCCTCGAATAATGTGAATTTGTTGAGCAATAATCAATGACTTTCTTCAGACTGGCTTGCGCCTCTGCAAGAGTCGGTTTTGGCTTGTCAGGGGGAGGAGGGGCTGCTGGTGCATTCTCAATCTGCTGATTCGTTTCGTTCTCCTCCATGATAATCTGAACAATTTCATCCTCGTCTAGGCACTCGTCCTCGGTGAGTTTCGTTGCTGGGTGTAGCCACTTTTCAATGTCAATGAAATTGACACTTCGGTAATGGTTGGTTCTGTTGAGTGCCTCACAGAATTCTCGTATCAGGGCTATTTCGTTCTGTTGGAATAGATCAGTTGAACTTTCTCCTTCCTCAATCATAATCCCCCCTTCTACTTTTATCTGAATTTCCGATGAATTCTCCTCTAATTTTACTTGATTTTCGGGGGGTAGAGGAGGAGGAGGCGACGGCGGCTCGGTATCTGGGAGCTGGGGCCAGAGCTGTAACATAATATAAATCTGAATTATTTGATTATTTTAATATTTTGATTTTTTAATTTTTTAAATGTTGTAAATATTTCGTTTCGTTACCAATTTTTGGAAATTTAATTGATAATTGATAAATGCTAATGTTGGAATTTTTTCCATGAATTTTCATAAAAAATTGAGTTGATATGAAATTTTTATAGCAAAAAAACAAAAAAAATTATTCATAATTTACTGTCATACTTAAACTTGTTTCAAATTTTTCTCACACCATTTCATTGTCCTTTGTTCTTTAAACTCTTGTCTCCTAGCAGAAACAAAATGACTCACCGGTTTCCAAGACTGAACAATCATATCATCCGACAGTTTACTCCAGCTATTAGCAAGCCAAAAGATGACCTCTCTGATGGTAAGATTCTTCATGGCTTCGTCCAAAGAAACCCCAACACTAAGATTATTCATAAGAAATTTGATGAGTTGCTGTCGATAGGAAACCTTGAGATTCCTCAGCCAGGCCTTATCAAAAGGTTGCAATAATACGCTAATATTACGCGGTAACAACTCGACCCTGATATCCTGGTTCTTCATTTCGTGCGGTAACAAGAGACAATTATCCATAAACAAAATAGCCTTGGGGGGGACGCCCCTGGAGATCAACAACTCATTGACTGTTGGGCAAAAATCATTGTTGAACCAATCGGTGAAAATTCTCCCAGTCATGTAGGAACTCATTTGATTTCTATAGCATACAGGAAGTTGTGTGAGATTTTTAATAGCCCTGGGCTTGGGAAACTTGCCAACAAGGACAAGAGGAATTTTGCAGGAGCCAGAAGCATTGGTGCAGGCCAATAGGGTGATTCTCTCCTTGAGCTGCTTCTGGGGATGGCCCTCAGGTGTCCATTTGACATTCATCACGAGATCGGGCAGTTGTCGATAATTGAGTCCAATGAGATGGCAAAAGAAGACCTGATCCGATGTCAGTCCCTCCGTCTCAATCATCGCCACCAACTTGGCTCTATACTTGTCTGCTGCAATCTTGTCGTCCTCAAGTGCTGCCTGTTGAGCACTCGATGCACCATTCTGCGGGCTAAATTTCACGCCATAACGTCTCTGCCATTTTGTCAACCATCCCTGACTTGCTGTAAATGTTTGGGCTATTTTCAATTGATTTCGAAAGAGAAGGGCCTGTATCTTGGCACTGGGTCCTGTGATGCTACATCCCGCTGCACTTCTCTCTCTGTGCCATAGCCACATTGCTCTGTCTATCAATTCGTGGACTGGCTTTCTCAGTCTCTTCTTGGCCGTTGGCATCACTCCATTGTGCTCTGTCGCCCATTTCTGAAGGGCCTTCTCATTCTTTATCCAACCGTCAACTGTCGACGAGTGGACACCCAATTCCTTGGCGACAATGTGACGAGGACAGCCCAGTTTCACCTTTTCAAGGGCTTTCAACTTCTCGTGCACCTCCACTGACGTGTTTCTACGCTTTTTCACGGGGACATTGAATTTTGGGGATTGAGGGGTCGGGGAATTGGGTGATAACGGCGGAGATATTTCAGGGTCAGACATGTTGTTGCGCGGTTAGCTTTTTCGGAGAAGAACGAGACTGCTCGGTTGGTCGCTGTGGCCACAATTGGGCGGAGGGGAGGAGGAAGCTTGCTTCTGCGCAGGTTGTGGTACATGACGTCATACGGCAGTGAAGTGTGGGGGGAAGGGAGGAGCCTGGTAGTGAAGAAGAGACATGGGAGGGGGGGGGGGGATTATTTAATTCGAATTTTCGTTTTTTATTTTTTTATTTTTTTCAACTCAAAACCCTTATAACTGGGTGGCCCAAAATTGATCTCACATATCGTCAACATATGTGATTGTGTAATATGTGACAATAATTTGAATGAGATTTTTCTCTTTGATGTATCACAGGAGATATATTAATTTTATGATGTAAAAAAAGCATTCAATGTAAAATTTTAATTACAATTCTCTGATTTTCCGTCATTTTTCATGAGAGAGAAACTTGAATAATAGCGTTTGGCGAATAAACCCAATATAAAAAAAAAAAAAAAAAAAAGGAAAATTGCTAGTTAATAACTTACTCTATATCTAATGGATTTGACAACTTTTACTGTTTAGGGCTTTTGTCAAGCTATTTCTCGTTCCACCAAAAATTTCAACGTCCAGGAGCCACAATACTTTGAAATTCGTAACGACAGAGCTGAGTCGTACACAATGTGCATTGAACAAGTCCTGAGCAAGGTCAGTCCTCAACTCGTCATGTGCATACTTGCGAAAAATCGTGCAGACACTTATGCAGCGATAAAGAAGAAGTGCTGCATTGACAGGCCTGTTCTAAGTCAGGTTGTCACTGCTCGTTGCTTCAAGCCACAGGGAATGATGTCAATAGCAACTAAAGTTGCTATCCAATTAAATTGCAAGATTGGAGGGATCCCATGGACTGTCCACATTCCCTTGGGAGGTTTGATGGTCGTGGGATATGATGTGTGTCATGACACCAATAAGAAAGGAACAGACTTTGGTGAGTATCAATAGTCAGAATTAATTTATTATTATTATTCATTCATTTTTCAGTGCTTTTGTCCTTGGACATGTATTAAAATGAAAATTGAACAATTAATTTTTTAAAACAATGATAATAATTTTCAGTAAAAAAGAACACTCTGTGAACACTTGAACATGTTAAACTGTTGTTTGTGATAAAAATGACCAAACAAGTGTTGATGAAAAGTTTCAGTCCAAAAAATTTTCAATAGTGAAAATAATTATAAACATAGACAATTGAAAGAGATTGTTTTCATATTACACACTGCATTTTCAATAAATGACAATAAATTGAACAATATATTCATCTGCTGCTGCTAATTTTGCCAATTCTAAAATGAAACAATCTTTCAGGAGCGATGGTGGCCTCTTTGGACAAAAAACTCTCTCGTTACTTCTCAGCAGTGTCAGCCCACACGACAGGCGAGGAGCTCTCCAATCACTTGGCTGTGAACATGGCCAAGGCCCTGCATAGCTACCAGGAGGTGAACAAGGCCCTTCCATCCCACATAATTGTTTACAGAGATGGTGTCGGTGAGGGTCAGATTCCCTTTGTTGTGGATCACGAGGTGAAGCACGTGAAAGATGCAATCTCCAAATTCTACGCAAATCCAGCACAGGTGAAGCTGGGCTATGTCCTGGTAACCAAGAGGATCAACACGAGATTCTTCCAGGGAACCAGAAATCCCGCCCCGGGGACTGTTGTCGATGATATTGTCACCAATCCATGGAAGTACGACTTTTTCCTAATTTCACAGGGAGTAAAGCAGGGTACTGTATCCCCCACCTCGTACTCGGTTATCTACGACACAACTGGTCTCTCCCCAGACAGAATGCAATTGCTAACTTACAAGATGACTCACATCTACTTTAACTGCAGTACCACCATGAGAGTCCCTGCACCTGTTCAATTTGCTCATAAACTCGCATTCCTCGTTTCACAGTCTATTCATGCTGCACCTGGGGATCGCAATCTTCAGAGACTTCTCTATTTCCTCTAAGGCAATTAAATTATTAAATTTGAAGGATGAAAAGAAAGAGGTTTTATTGGAAAGGAGTACCAAATAATAGGATACGGCAGTAAAAGACATATTTGTTTGCTTCTAATTATTATTATCATTTTTTTTTCTTCAACAAATAGTTTTCGAGATGAATGAGAGTTGCGAAATGAAGATTTGATGGCTATGGCATTTTATTTATTAATGAAGCATTAGAGGCACCAACTTTTTTTTTGCTCAACGAATTATTGATTGAGTAATATATTGGAAAAAAATAAGAGAAATTCAATGAAGAAGTGATAAAAATTGAAAGATTTGATATTTCATTTTTGTAATTATGAAATTATTCCTGGAATTATCGACCGTGTTGTGAAAAAAATCAGAGGACGATTTTTGTGGAGTCTTTCATAAAAGAAAGGTCTTTCAACATGTTCCAATAAAACCACTCGTTTTCGGGATAAATTCACAATTACGAAATGAAGATTTGGCATGCAAGATGATAGCTTTTTTTCAATTCATAAATGAATTCCATTCATGCTCGATATACTTTTTTTTTTTTTATTCTGTTTGGAAATTGAGCATCATTCCTATGCATTTGTTTACGAGGAAAAATACCTTTTATTTTTATTTTTTTTATTCACATATTTTTTCAGTTGGAGAATTTGTCTTTTTATTTTTTTTCAACTTCTCTCAACCATTCGTCTTTCTTCAGTGTTTACTTTATTCTTCAGGTGTTCCATGGAATTGTTATCCTCAATAATTTTTCATAGTTATGTTATGAATGACTCTTTCATGAATTCTTCCTCTTTTATCCAAAACCAACGAAGAATATATTTTTTCATCGACTATTGATAAAAATGTAAGAGAATGCCTAATATAAATATTAGAAAGAATTTAAATCATGATTTCAGATAAATAGACGAGTTCATTTTGAACAATGAATATTCACGTCTTCATTGGATATAAAAAATAAAAGAACGAGAGAGTTCTTATTTTCAAGAAAAAAAAAAATAAATAAATAAAGATTCAAATTTCCATGAAATGGAATTGAAGGACAAACAGGGTTCATTAAATTAATCATTAAGTTTAATATAGTTTAAATAAAGTTTATCAATAGTGTTAAATTATCATAAAGACGTCATCGTGATGTCTTTGAGCAATTGCATTATACTACTTCACTAGTAATTGTACCATTTTTTTTCCACTGCAGCTCATTTCTGTATTTTTTTTTCGCTCCAGCACTTCAGTATCTCTAAAGAAACGATAATATGCATTAAAAACCTGTTGAAGCTGCTGGAAATAGCCATTCTTATTATTATCATCATTTTTCAATTTTAGATTGTCTTAGAATGGATGCTTGAAAAAATGATGCGCAGGATTAATTATGGAAAATATACTGTGTTTATTAGAAGTAAATAAAAATACAAAATTCAACTTTTTTTTTTTTCTATCACTGACGACTTTAGCCTTTTCAGCACCAAATCTCATCTCAATTATATCTCTAATGGGATTAATTGCGGGGGTGTCATCCCAAAACATTAAAAAATTGCCTTTTTTGCGTTTCATTCATAAATTTCTTATAGATGATTCTGAATGATTCGTCCCATGTATGGAAAAATTCAATAGATAGATTCTATTCCTTTTTTTTTTCGATAGAAATTTGATAGAAAAAAAATCAATAGACTTTCCTTAATAATCATCCTCATTATAACATAGAAGAGGAAAAAGTGGGAAAATTCATGCCCAATAAGTCGTACAGGAAAAAAAGTAATAGAATGTATAGAGACAAAATTCGGAAATAACCATTAAAGTAATAAAATTACATTATTTTCTTACAAGTAGGAAAAGCGAATATAATTTGTAATATAATAGACCAAGAGAATGGTCTACCTAATTTTTTTATACGTGCACTCTCCAAAATTCGAAATTATGAATGGAAATAATAGTTCAAAGTACTGTTTCAAGTGAAAATTTCTTTCTCAATTCTCTCCATTTGTGATATTTCGAGCGAAGAAAATTCTGCATCGCAGAATTTTTTTCATATAATTTCTTAGGTATGATGGTTCCTCGATCTTTAGAGGGTTAACTCGGGGGATTATCGATGCTCCTCGGAGACTGGCTCGTCGACTGCGTTTATTATTTGGGCTCTGTCGTGGTTGGACAGCTGTGGGGGGGGCTGATGACGTCCAAATTTGCAGACAATTCTTCTGCATAACTGGGGTACTACTACGTTGTTGTAGGAGCCCATGCCAATGAGGAGAATTGTGAATCCAATGAGCTGAAATCAGTAGCATCATTAACACTGTGTTGGTCGGTCGCGCACTATAAGCCACACTTTTTTCGATTTTTTAAATTATTAAACCGTAGTAAAGCCTTAGAAAATTTGGAAAAAATTTGACATTTCATTTTCAAGTGTCTAGAAGCCCTATCAATGAAAATATACGTGAAAAATATCATAAGTAGTTGGATTTTCAAATTGTTATTCTGAAACTGTGGGGTGCTACGTACCGTGTATAAGGCGAATTTTTAGAAAAAAGAACATGACAACTTTGAGCTTGATTATATGTATAATTAAGGGTATTTTCTGAGGCAAAATAATTACAATAGATGAAATGAGATTACAATAAACGAATTATGACAACTCACTTGGAGGTAATGAAATTTCTGCCACTGAAATATGAGAGAGAATCCCCAAATGACGATAGTTCTCACACTATCAAGTATCATTCTTGTTGTTGCACTCATCTCTTTTGTCACGCTGATTCCAGCAAAATTGAAGAATGCAATGCTCAACGTAATACCTAAATAGAAAAAAAAGAAAAAAGAAAAAAAAATACAATTTTGCAATGAATAAATTTGAGTCTTTTTGAGAAAACTTTATTAATGAAAAATAGATGAATAAACAATTCTCTCGGAATATCTCACCGACAATAGCCATGAGTAATCTTGCACTGTTGCCTATCTGAATGAAAGCGTCAATGGGTGCTTCCAAAGTCCCCTGAGAGTTATCAGCAAATGGTGGATATGCGTAAATATAATTTAATGGAATCATGGCTAGACATATTCCAATGAAACCGAATATTCCCTCCCATCCGACAGCTTGCAGGGGTGGTATATCCAGACCAGTCACAAATTTCTCCTCCACCACCATTTGAACTGACGTTATAACCTGAAATATAGAATGATTAATCACCAAATGTGGTCGGCATAATCACAACAGATTTTTCATATTACCTGTGCACAAATAATCAACAAATCCCCAGTGAGAATAGAGTTCATTCCTCCAGAATTTTCCTCGTTCATCAAGAGATCACTGATTCCCACAAGTGCCAATCCCATAATAACTAATCCAATGCCAGTCCATTCTCTTCCACCCAGCTTTCTATCTAAAAATCCCATTGATAAGAATCCGGTGAACACAATGACTGAGCCCCGAAGCATCTGAAAACTGCTGGCGTACGTTAAATTCAATCCCACGTACATTATAGATGTTGCAATCATGTCACAAGCAGCTGGAATCAGGAGAATAAAGGGATTGAAGTTTTTGTTGCCTTTTGTAAGGGCACTTGTCTCTGCTGAGTCGTCCTGTCAATGAGAAATTAATTGAAGAATATTTTTAAATTGATCAACATCTGTCTGAATATTATATTCATTCAATTATATTTATTTAATTGACTATATTCTAATTCTAATGATTTTATCACCACTGGATTGATTATTATTCAGTCAATTCACTTGTAGATCAGTTTTTTTCAATGAATATCTCTGAATTCCACGGGAGATTTAAACCAATTTATTATACATCAGATTTTTTTTTCTAGATTATTATTATAATTCCATCTTTCATTCATCACACTTAAATTCAAAGATATTCTCCAACAACTGATTTATTTCAGAATAAAAATTATTCGCTCTGTTTAAATATTCATTCAATTAACTTTTGAGTGGTCAAAAGTTGATTGAATTCAATTTCATTATGTACAAATTTTTTACATTTATAGGTTAAACAGGGATTTCCTGCGAGTCGAATTTTCAAAAGATTTTAATAATTGATTGGTGCGAGTATGGATCGAAAAAAAAATTGTCAATGCGTTCGATTTTATTGAAAATAGGAATAAAATTTTTTCTAAATTTCTCACTTACGAGATTTTCATCTGAGAAAAAAATTGAAAATATGCTACGATTTCCCCATTGTGTGACTCTAGTAATTTGTAATTAACTTGGAATAATTGTCTTACATTTTTCCTCTTGTAATATAGATAAGCAATCTTGAACGTCAACAAACACAACATTTCACCGAGGAACATGAAGGAAGACTGCATAAATGGATGATTGAAATGTCTCGGCTGTCCATCCTCTCCGGCAACAATTTGTTTGTCTGCATATCTGTAGAAAAATTTTGGTTCATGATATTTTATTAATAATATCATTCAAAAAAGCCACAATTCATTTTCAATTGAAATTTTGATCGATTTAGTGATTTTCTTGCATTGAAAACATTGAAAAAGGATATTTTCATCATTTTCTGTGAATGCTTTTATATTCAATTAATGATATTAATTCTTCAATTTTTCAATTGAAATAAACTTACTTGACTGAGAGAGTATTGAATGACCCCGTAACAACCATCAACAGAGCCAAGAGTTTTTGATAATTAGTCCAAGCCATTGTAGATCGATTCTAAACTGTAATAAAAATTTGCCAGAAAAAATATGGCTCAGTGGTGACACTTTCGATAACGAGGGTTTATCAGACAAAACAATGACTTCGTCACAAATAAAGAGAGACAACTAATTGTTCTTGAAATCCACTTGCATGAAACAAAGAAAAATAAAAAAACAAATCTGCTCTTCTTTTCAACGAATTACGAACAATAGCGTAATTTTCATCACGATTTGTCTGACAAATGATGCTTGATGCTGTCTCTCCACACCACACACATCCCTATTTTCTTTATCTCATTGTTATTCTCTGGAAAGCAGTTCTCAACCTCAAAATGGAAATTGAAATTTCACTAACAGCATAGATAGAATATGATGTAAAGACTTTGGTAGACAAATAATTGGGAGAAGCTGAAGTTATAACAGTGGAAAACTCTGTGATAAATCTGATTTGATCGGCTTTATAAATAAAACAAATTCAAGTTATTGAATCGGAATAAATGTCATATTAGCAGAGAAAAGATTAACTCACTCAGTGATCCATGTTTGGATGTTGATACTTTATTACAAAAAAAATGTGAATTCCTGACTGCTCAAGTTTCAGATAACTCCAATTGTATGAAAAATGTTCGTGATAATGAGAATGAAGGGATGAATCATAAAAGCCGTTGGTGGGTAGAGTGAATTCTTATATATATATACTATATATAGAAGTCGCCAGTCGCAATTTTTCCCCCACCACAAGCGTTTATTGCCGTTAAGCCCAGACCTGGAAAAAGTGCAATGCTACATTTAGCCATTGCGCAACCCTCCGCGCACATTCATCATGGCGGCTGGCCACTGGCAGAGAATGGAGCGTTTGGCGTTTGTCTGCGGATTTTCGGTGAGAAAGGGGATTACACCCGGGAAATTAGTATTAATAGTGCAATAATCAGTTAATATTGATGGCAGGCAGTGATTTTATCAAGTAATGGGACTTTATTATTGCATTATTACAGAATCGAGACGTAAAAAGTGCAACTGCAAAAACATGGCTAGTGCCAACTTCTCTGCGCACATCCATCAGGCGGCCGGCCTTTGGTACTGCACGAATAGAGAAGGATCAACGTGAAAGTGGAATTGTTGGAGTTGGATTGGAATATATGCCAAGCTGACGCCGGGTGTTTCAACGACCGGTGAGTCCCCAAAATATCAATTTTTTATTCTTTGATTGTATTTCATTGGTGGATAACAATGAGAGGAGGGACGAATAAAATCACAAAACACACAGAGTCTCTTCTGATCGTAAAGGAACAATAATAATCTAAAAACGTTCTTCCAGTGAATAAATCTAATGTTTCCGTATTTTCGACGGCTTTGTTATTCACAAATGTCAACTAAATTTGTTAGGCTTTTTTTCATTTCGCATTTTCTCCTCGAGGGAGACCAAGATACTTTCGTGCTATAAAATGCTCATAATTAATTTTCATTTTCACCTGGACCAAGGGTCAGATTTTGGATTTTCTCACAGGGACAGTCGAGTTTCGCAAAATCTACGTTTTTCCTCACGTGAATGTTGATACTGTATTTACAAATTTGATCCGGGGAAATTTTGTCCTATAATTAATTAATATAATTAAGAAATAAGTATTAAAAAAACATGGAATTTCAGTGGAAATTCAATGAAATTTTCCTGACTTGTATTCATTTTCAAGAAATGAATTTCAAATTTATAGCTTTTCTTAATTTTTACTTTAAATTGTGAATTTTAAATTATGAAATCCCTTGAAATTTTACCGAAAAAATAGTCTAATGAAAATTTTTCACAAATGCACCGAAGTTTCATTCAAAAATGTTAAAAAGTCTAGAAGAATCCGGGATATTTCACCCTCAATTTTTTGCTACTAAAGTCATCTAGAATAAAAGATTCTCAGGTCCAACTGGTTATTTAAAATGTAAAAAATTGAGTGAGTGAGAAAAAAAATTGATGACTATTTTATAAGAGGTTTCACATGAATTAACGTAATTAATTTGCCAAAAAACTAATTTCATTCACTCAACTCCTCTCGTGATGCTAATACACGTCGTTTTTTAATTTCATCGGGCCGGTTTTTTTCTTATCTCCCCGTCCATCGATTTTTTCTCCAATTGTAAATTACATGTTGGCTCAAATAACTCGCTTGGTGGTGTAAAAGTTGATAATTAATCTCGGGAAAGGATATTCCAGTTACGGCGGGGTCGAGGGCGTTAAATGGAAAAGCGTGCCGCAGTGAATTTAAAAAAATTTTATAATGCGGGGGTGAGGAAAAATGGGGAATGCACAGTGGAATAATGGAATATTTCATGGTTGCAGATCGTGATCGACCTTGGGATGGAGCGCTAGTTTGCGTTTTTCCACGTCCTACACCCTACACAAGATGAATTAAATTAA